ACATAACTAGCCTCAGTTAATGATCGAGTATGTATTCTTCCAACACATTTTCTATGCATGTACGTGCTCTGCTCACCTTTCTATCCCATGTAGTGTTTCACACAATGCTATATACATTGTAGACACTCAATTAGTGTTTAATAGGAGGCATTGGCACTGGACTTGGATACTGACAATTCCAGGTGGAAGTCTCGACTCTGCTGTGCATTATTCTGTGACCTTGACAAGTACGTAACCATTCTGAGCCTCAGCTACACCTGCAAAGTCTCACTAATACACTCCAGGGATGGACCTGGCAGAGTGTTGTGGCATTTACATGTAGAAATGAGTATAAAGCACCAAATATGCTTGGGTCATGGTGGACACTTTGTTACTAGTAGCTTCATTCTTGTTGCTATTAATGTCATTGCAGACATAATAACAAATGCAGTTGAGCACCATGTGTGCTTTCAGACACTCTGTTCACCTTAACCATAAAACTTAGCACCTGATATTGTGATTCTGTATTGTGTGTGTGTGTGTGTGTGTGTGTGTGTTCACCCCCTTTTCTTTGATTCCCCTGAGCTTCTTGAGATTAGACCAACACGTTATCATTTTTATTTCCCCAATACCTAATGCAGACACAAATTACATACAACAATTGTTTGTTGAATGAAGGGATGAGGTGGCTATTTGTATAGAAATGTGTATATTTGTGTGTGTGTGGAACGAGCCGTGGCCTAGGACTGTACTGTCCAATATGGTGGCCCCTATCCATATACGACTATTGTGCCTTTGACATGTGGCTAGTGACACTGGGGAAGTAAATTGTAAATTTGTAATTTTACTTAATTTTACTTAAAGTCAAAAACTAAAGCAATGTGAAATATTTTTCTTTTTTTTTTTTTTTTTTTTTGAGACAGAGTCTCACTCTGTCACGAGGCGCCAGACTGGAGTGCAATGGCACAATCTCAGCTCACTGCAACCTCTGCCTCCAGGGTTTAAGCAATTCTCCTGCCTCAGCCTCCTGAGTAGCTGGGATTACAGGCACGCACCACCACACCCAGCTAATTTTTGTATTTTTAGTAGAGACAGGGTTTCACCATGTTGGCCAGGATGGTCTCGATCTCTTGACCTCGTGATCCGCCCACCTCGGCCTCCCAAAGTGTGGGATTACAGGCATGAGCCACCGCGCCCGGCCATGTGAAATATTTTTCTATATTACAACTTCATTATTTCGATTGGACTACATTCCCATTTCACTGTTGAAAATTTTGTGTCTGAGCGCAGACATGCTGTCAGTGAAAAATATTCACTGAATTTCCAGAACTTAGGATGAAAAGAAGAAGGTAAAATCTCTTATTGATAATGCTTATATTGAAGCGGGGTGTAATGGCTCCAATCCCAGCACTTTGGGAGGCCGAGGTGGGAGGATTGCTCAAGGCCAGGAGTTCAAGACTAGCCTGCACAACAAAGTGAGACCTCGTCTCAACAAAACGTTTAAAAATTAGCCAGGGGTCGCAGTGCACACCTACGGTCCCAGCTACTCAGGAGGCTGAGGTAGGAGGACAGCTTGAGCCTAAGAGTTCAAGAGTGCAGTGAGTTATGATCGTGCCACTGCACTCCAGCCTGGACCTCAGAGCATGTCCCTGCCTCTGAAAAAAAATTAAATCTAATTAAAAGAAATAATGTTTATATTGACTACATATTTAAATGATAATATTTTTGATATATTGGGTTATATAAAACTATAAAAACTGCCAGGCACAGTGGCTCAAGCCTGTAATCCCAGCACTTTGGGAGGCTGAGATGGATGAAACACAAGGTCAAGAGTTCAAGACCAGCCTGGCCAAGATGGTGAAACCCCATCTCAATATTTTCTAAAACAATTTAAAAATTTATAAAAAATTATTAAAATTAATCTCACCTGTTTCATTTTGCTTATGTGAATGTGGATACTAGAAAATGTGAAATCTGACATGTGGCTCACATTATATTTCTATTGGACAGTGCTGGTCTAGGCCATTTCTTCTGTCATCCAAGGGAACACCTGCTGTCCTGATTCAACCCCTCCCCAGAATCCATCTTCCTGGTCTAAGTATAAAAAGAGGTTTTGGAAGAAAACAATGTCCCCATCTTTGTAACAGGGAAACACCTGTATATTCGCTGACAGCCCACACCAGCTGTCTCAGATAGACCCATCCTGCTCAGACAACCTACCTTTTGTGGGCATAAGCACTAGAGTAGGCAGAGAGCAAAGGGGTCTCCCTCAGTGACTCCACAAAAGTTGGTAGAGAATCTCGTGAACACTGCATTAGCTCTAATATGACATTGATCATACTATATGATCACTGGCTTTTTATGTTTCTGTCTCGTGCCTCTTCTCTCTACCCCCAAACACTAACCCCATAGGCTTTGACCACCTCAAAGGTAGGGCTCAGCCTGGGCACAGTGGCTCCAGCCTATAATCCTAGCACTTTGGGAGGCCGAAACAGGTGGATTGCCTGAGGTCAGGAGTTCAAGACCAGCCTGGGCAATGTGGTGAAACCCTATCTCTACTAAAAATACTAAAAATAGCTGGGTGTGGTGGTACACATCTGTAATCTCAGCTACTCAGGAGGCTAAGGCATGATAATCACTTAAATCTGGGAGGTGGGGCCAGGCGCGGTGGCTCACGCCTGTAATCCCAGCACTTTGGGAGGCCGAGGCGGGTGGATCACGAGGTCAAGAGATTGAGACCATCCTGGTTAATATGGTGAAACCCCGTCTCTACTAAAAATACAAATAAATTAGCTGGGCATGGTGGCTCGTGCCTGTAATCCCAGCTTCTCAGGAAGCTGAGGCAGGAGAATTGCCTGAACCCAGGAGGCGGAGGTTGCGGTGAGCCGAGATCGCGCCATTGCACCCCAGCCTGGGTAACAAGAGTGAAACTCTGTCTCAAAAAAAAAAAAATCTGGGAAGCGGAGGTTGCAATGAGCCAAGATCATGCCATTGCACTCCAGCTTGGGCAACAAGAGTAAAACTCCATTGCACTCTAGCCTGGGCAACAGAACGAGACTGCCTCAGAAAAAAAAAAAAAAAAAGGTAGGGATCAACCAGATCTTACTCAACTGCAATCTCAGCACCCAGCTCTGTCCCAGGCACACAGTAGACACAAGAAATAAAACACGCAGTTCCTGTCCTCTGGCCTCTGTCTCTCCTGCCATGCTGACTGGCTCTTGCTCTCCACAGGATAAGCTGGTGGTTCTGTGCCATTCCCTACAGCATTCTCATCTTTGTCTATGATGAAATCAGAAAACTCCTCATCCGTCAGCGGCCAGGTGGTAAGGCTTCCCTGGGCCCCGCTCTGACTGAGTGGTCACCAGCCCCAACTAGCTCTCCTGTCCTGCCTGGACCCTCCAGACCCACCACTGACTTTCTCCCCTCCTCGCTGCCAGCCTTGACTGTGCCTGAAGCCCAGCCCTCTCTACCCTTTGGCTGCACCCCATGTTCCATCTGGCCCTCAGTGCCCTGTGTTTGGGACCGCCCGCCTTCAACCTTGTCCCTCTCTCCCTTCTGCCTGTCACCCCTGGGTGCTTCTTCTGCCTTCCCCCAGTTCACGCTGCCTCTTCTCTTCCACAGGCTGGGTGGAGAGGGAGACCTACTACTAAACTCATCAGAGGAAGCACTTCATGTGACACAGGGGTGTCATGAGACCTGGGGTGGGGGTGGGCAGAGATGATAAATTTGACACAACATCTGAGACCCTAGAATGAATTACCTTGGATGAGAAAGACTGGCAATCCTGAGATGGCTTGAGGGCATCACGGGCAGAAGATGAGGTGGGCTGAAGGAAGCCCAGCCTGTATCTAGCTGGAGCCTGGCAGGGAGGGGTATGGTCCTGCTGAGTCCCGTAGCCAGTTGAGACAGTAAATATCTGGAAAAGCCCTCACCGGCTGGATGTGTCTGATCTGATCTGGGGGTAGTGGGGATTACAGCGAAGCTCCCTCCGCAGTCTTCATGATGAAGGCCGGGGAAGTCTTTTGACGACCAGTCAAGGCCGGGATAGGATCACTATCAAGCGTCCTTGTCCCTTAAGGGCTACGCCCCATCTTAAAGTCACTCTCCAAGCCACTGGACAGCAAGGACAGGGCAAATGACCACCTCCAAAGTCCAGTTGAGATCAGAGAAATGGAAGGTAGGGGAGAGAGGAGCCGCTGAGCCTCACACAGGAGAGGGTCCACAGCGTCTGCATAGGGGGCAGGGGGTGGACTCATCTGACCCCACCTGGCAGTTCCTGAGAGCAGCTTGCAGACCACAGCAGTGTGGTACTAGAAGAGACCTGATTGCATCAGTGAAAAGCGAGAGGTTAAATGACTTGGGAACGGCCATGTGCTGAGCGGTGTCCCTCATCTGAGAAAGGGACAGGTAGGAGGGACAGACTCCAGGCAGACTGGTGGTCCCTGCCCTCTGCCCGCTGTCATCAGGGCTCCTCAGCCCCATCCCAACCCTTATTAGGCTGTTTTTTCTGGTGTAGCCTCAAGATAGAGGCTGTAATAAGACTTTCTGAATCCCTGTGGCCTTTGCTGTAGGTGAGACAGCCTCCCCTGCTCTGCATGGGGTGATGGACTGTCCCAAGAGCCGGCCTCTGTGCCTGGTCCCAGGTGCCTTCTCAGATGAGCAGAAAGTCCTGGGGGCCCTCTCCCTCCTGCCCACCTTCATCTCCGCGTTTCTTCCTTCCCCTTCACCCGCTCATTCACTTTGGCTCTGTGAACCCCTCCACTGTGCCCTGTGGGTCAGTTCATTCTCAGGCCTCTTTCGGAGTAGAGCATTGGCTGAGCCTAAAAGTTACAGGGTGGGAGAGAAATGCTAAAGAAAGCCAGGGGAAAACCATCAGCTACTACCCAAAGAAAAACACGTGCACTAGGTGTCTGCACGTGCACCTAACACTGGGACGAGGGCTTTATATACACCATTGAGTCACAAACATGTGTCCCTACCACCCATTCCGTTTTACCCAAGAAGGAACCAAGTTCTGCCAGTTTTCAGAACATGTACCCTTAATCACTTTCAGATCATTCTTTCAATGAGGATGGGGCCAAAAATACACAAAAACAAAAAAATAGGATAGTGATGGGGAAGGACCCCAGGTGGGTCTGGAGGATGAGAGGCCACAGGCTATCGAGGAGAAGGCCGTCGTGAGTATTGCCAGCTGTTTTCCCTACATCAGGCCCCTCCGCAGAGGTCGCTCTCCCTCTTCCCCTCCCTCCTCCAGCACAAGGTGCCCTAGGGACAGTGCTATATCAGCCTGGGGTCCTTCCCCAGTTGCTGACATGGCTGAACCAGACCCTGGAAGATCAATGGACCAGGGTGTATGTGAGTGAGGTGGGAAGCGGGAGCACAGAGGGGCCAGCTCCTCAGGTTTCAGTAGCAGGAGCTTCGGGTGTCTTGTGGGTTAAAAATACAGAGGTCCCAACTCACGGTCATTTGATACCAGTGGCTGAGGCTTCTTAAGTCCAAGGGCCTGAAGGGAAGGAAATTGAGTAGAAAGTAGAGAGAGCAGCCGAGCGCCGTGGCTCACGCCTGTAATCCCAGCACTTTGGGAGGCCGAGGCGGGTGGATCACGAGGTCAAGAGATTGAGACCATCCTGGTTAATATGGTGAAACCCCGTCTCTACTAAAAATACAAATAAATTAGCTGGGCATGGTGGCTCGTGCCTGTAATCCCAGCTTCTCAGGAAGCTGAGGCAGGAGAATTGCCTGAACCCAGGAGGTGGAGGTTGCGGTGAGCCGAGATCGCGCCATTGCACTCCAGCCTGGGTTAACAAGAGCGAAACTCCGTCTCAAAAAAAAAAAAAAAAAGTAGAGAGAGCAAAGCATCAAGAGAGAGAGCAGTGGAGGTGGTTGCCAGAAAGGGGAAAGGTAGGACTGGAGCCAGAGAGGGCAACGAGAGGGAACGGGATGGATGGCAATGTCCAGTAGCTGCAGGAAAGGACCCGGAGATGGAGCAGGCTCAGCCACCAGCATCCCATCTCACACTCTTCGGGGTACAAAAAGTCAGATTCAAGATGGAGCAAGTTTTATGTTCCAGCATCTCTGTCCCAATGTGTCTCCCTCCCTTGGAATACAGAAGTGACAAATCGGGGCTGGATGTCACCCAGGTCATCTGCTTCCAGGCAGGCCTCCCCGTCTCACATGGCCGTCTTCACTCTGGACGTGGAGCTTTCCCACGTTAGTCACTCTTCAGGGAGACCAGGATACTTTCTGAGGTCTCTTCAGCTCTAACGTGCTGTGCCTAGGCCAGCTCCGACCTCTCCTGCTGCAGCGACAGCTGTTTCTCTTGGCCTCACTCCTGCCATGTTTCTGAGATTTTCTGTGGCCTTCCTTGTTTAGCTGTGGAAGGTCTAGGACATGTGGAAAAGTTATTCTGCTAAGATAATTTTATGGCCCTGCCTGGATGCAAAAACAAAAACAAAACACGACACTGTCCCTCTAGAATCAGACATTTCTCAGGGTGGGGTGGCAGCGTGTGATGTTGATCTAACCCTCCATGGTCTCCCTTATGCCTCAGTTTACCTGAGCATAAGAACCCTGGAGGGCCATGAAGAGGGCCTTTCCTTCCTACATGTCCAGAGTTGAACTCACTACTCTGTCCTCACCCACAAGCTGGATCCAGAAGTTTAAGCCCCTCCCCGCCCAACTCTGCTTTGGATTTTGGGTGCACGGAATTAATCCACAGCCTTGGTTCAGGGCACAGTGTTTCCCTCTTCGTGTTTACCTAATGTTAATTTTTTTTTTTTTTTTTTTTTGCTCAGTGTTTATACCTGGTTCTCTTTGTCTTGTCAAAGACGTGGGAATAAATAGTAGCTATTCACTCTCCTTGAAAGCATGCAGCCTGGGAAATCCTGCCTTCCCACTGTGCCCCAGAAAACCCAGGCCCATTGGATCAGGGTAGGGAGTGCACACACAGGTGGCAACCAAACGACAGGCCCCTTCTTGCTCTGGGCTTTATGGGCAGAGAAACCCCAAGCCCACATCTCTACAGGACAGTATCTGGGCAGCCCCGTCCTTCCCTGCATTCCCAAGTTAGGAATGTTGAGTGAGGCAAAGGAAACTGGCTGGAGCTGAGCCAGGTCGCCAGTCTTGGATGCAGCTCCATCTTTTATTCAGAGAATGACCTCATCCTTGGTCCTGGTTCTTTAAAAAAAGTGCAGGGGGTCTCTTTCCTGCAGCCTGGCTTACACTTTTATTGCCCCACTCTTTTACCTAGGATCAAAGAATCAGAATCAGACTTCCCCTACAGAAGATTCCCAGGCTGTAGGACAGAGAGCCAATACCACATATGTCCCCCTTTTGCCCTTATTATCAGTTTAGCCTCTGACCCAGTTAGCTCCTCTCCACTGCATTAACTTCCAATTACCCTTGCCCTACCCTCAGCCCTCACCAATTACCCTTATACCTCCCCTCCCCCAGCCCCAGCTTCATTTACCTCCGACTCATCTGCTCTTATTTTTAGCTCCGGCATCGCTCCTTTTCCTTTCTTAATATGGCGATGAGCTCTTAGGCCAGCATGGGGACCAGGGCTGAGGTGCCCTGGACACTGGAGGAGGGGGAGGGAAGGAGCCCCTGGGAGCCTGGTGGAGAAGCGTAGGAGGTGGGAGGATTCCAGCCCGCATGGAGCTGTCCTGGCCTCAGAAGGTTATCCATCTCTCCTGCCAACCACAGAGACGTATTTAGACAGGACCAGGTGGGGACTGAGGGGTGCCAATTTCAGGGGGCAGCTCCGGTTCCCTCCCCGCCCCCTGCTCCTATTCCTCCGCCTGACCCTTTTTCCCTTGGCTCCATCGGCAGTTTCTCCAGGACCCAGCACTGTCCTCTGTCCACCGCTCTGGGCCATTCCCCAACCCCCCCCCCCACACTCGAGCCCCTAACTCAGAATCTGGGACCCAGGGGCCCCTCCCTACCCCAGCTAACCTCTTCTGGACCAGGAGAGCCGACCCAGCTCCCACTACCTCCCTGAGTGCTACAGACAGGATGGGGGCCAGAGCTGTGCCGGGTCTGCGGCTGGCACTGCTGTTGCTGCTGGTGCTAGGGACGCCCAAGTCAGGGGTGCAGGGGGAGGAAGGGCTGGACTTCCCTGAGTACGATGGTGTGGACCGTGTGATCAATGTCAATGCAAAGAACTACAAGAATGTGTTCAAGAAGTATGAGGTGCTGGCCCTCCTCTACCATGAGCCCCCCGAGGATGACAAGGCCTCGCAAAGACAATTTGAGATGGAGGAGCTGATCCTGGAGGTGAGTTGGGGGCACTGCAGGCCTGCCGAGCATGCCTCGCCCCTTTCTGGGACGCCTTATCCTACACCCGTGTAGCGCTTTGAGGATGGGATCTGGGGGTGAGGGGCAGTGTGGCAGGACCCCTGTCTTGACCAACAGGGTGCAAGTGGCATGTGGCTTTTATCAAATGAGAAAGAGACTCAGGAACCAAGAATAACTGACATCGTTAGGTAATCCTTTCAACGGGGTGCGGCAGGAAGAGCTCCCCTCCCTGATGTAGGAGGCTGGTAGCATTTGACTTCTGTTTGGCTGGAACAGTGGGGGAAAAGAAGGGAGGTACCTAGAGGGCCGGGGGAGAACAGCAGCGTACATTGCACTCCCCTGCCTCACCCATCTACTTAGCCAGAACGTGTCCCCTTCACATGCCTCTGGGGGCTGCACCCCAACGAGATCCAAATTGAGTATAAATGTAAAGGTTATGATACTTGCACGCCATGTTTAAATATCTCCCAGAGACCATGCCTCCCATTGGCCTCCCAGTCCCCTCCCTCTCCTCCCCTCCCTAATTCCCCATTTGTCTCTGTTGGATCAAGCTGGATGCCCTCACTGGAAAATTCTGATGGTTGCAAGAAGTATCAGAATGTCTCCCCCAATCTTCTCTTTGTGGGAAAAGTCCTCTCACCTCCAAACTGACTACAGGCCCAAAGGAGAAAGGAGTTATCATGAGAAAAGAAAAGAGATCCTATGTTTGGGAATGACTGGGAGACGTGGTCACACACACCCCTTTAGGAGCTGGGATATGTGAGTTTTCTTGTCCAAGCTCCTGTGGTCCCTTCTCTGGCTTGGCATGCCGATAGGCCCCAGCTTGTCCAGAGCATGGAGCATTTCAGGGTGAGACACCAGAACCACAGCCTCTCATTCTGTGCACCCCGCTGCGTGCTAGAACCTGCCATCTGATTAATGAGCTGAGTATTTTTATCCTGAGTGCTCAGTATCCCTGGCCATCCACCTGCTAACCACCTCCCTTCCCCGCCCCTCTGAGAATCAGTGCATGAGTCGGTGCTGAGTGGGGGTAAAGCTGCAAGCTGTGCCCACAGCAGAGAGAATCAGGGTTGAGCACTATGCTGGAAGGCTTATGGGGGCAGGGACTCCAGGTGTGACTGTCCACAGCCTAAGGACAGACTGGAGTAGACAGTGAAAGGTGAAAGTTCGGCCCTGATGGGAAGAGCTGTCCAGTCACTGTCAGTCTCTCTCCCTCTGGGGGTGACAAATAGTGACCTTTTCTCTCAGTTCTCTGGCCTTCCCCACTCCCCAGCAACATGGCCAGACCCACCACCACCCTCCCACCCTCCAACATTCTTCCCATTGGTAGTGACTCTGAGGAATCTCAGGGACTTCCAAGATCAACCCCACACTGAGCTTGGCCTTTGACCAGAATGGAATGCAGAGCTCAGCCCTGAAGGAGAGAAGGGGACCTCAGTCACTCTGAAGCCAGACTCCTCAGCACCTCCCAGGCACTGGGACGTATGGAGTGCAGTGTCTTCAAGTTCAAATAATAAGCACACTGCGAATGAGCAATCCACATTTATTAACTAAAAGTTGAGCCAAAAACAGAACTGTGTGGTTGTAGGGAGTTTGGGGGATATTCTGGATCTTAGCAAAGGGTCAAGGTCAGCTCATATCTCCTGCACCTCAACTGACCCAACTTGAAAGCATGAGAGGGAGAACAGGGGATAAAAATTCCAGGGGTTGGGCTGGGCACGGTGGCTCACGCCTATAATCCCAGCACTTTGGGAGGCCAAGGCGGGTGGATCATGAGGTCAAGAGATCGAGACCATCCTGGTCAACATGGTGAAACCTCGTCTCTACTAAAAATACAAAAAATTATCTGGGCATGGTGGCGTGTACCTGTAGTCCCAGCTACTCCGGAGGCTGAGGCAGGAGAATTGCTTGAACCCAGGATGCGGAGGTTGCAGTGAGCCGAGATCGCGCCATTGCACTCCAGCCTGGGTAATAAGAGCAAAACTCTGTCTCAAGAAAAAAAAAAAAAAAAAATTCCAGGGGGGCTAATTGTAATCCTAATCCTTCCCTCTAGTTAGCAGCCCAAGTCCTAGAAGACAAGGGCGTTGGCTTCGGGCTGGTAGACTCTGAGAAGGACGCAGCTGTGGCCAAGAAACTAGGTAAGAGAGGGGAGGGCAAGGGAGAGGAAGGTGGCATTGAGACTGGATGGAGGACCTGTCAGGCCGGCCTTGGGGTCTGAGGGGCTTGGGAACCCCTCAGATCTATGTCTATTCTAAAAGAGGGGGTGAGAAAATATGAGGTTGGGAGGGTTATGGCTGGGAGACTCTCCCTCTCTATTCCTTATCAAGTCCCATGCTCAAATCCCAGAAAGATGTGGGGAGGCCTTCTTTATACTTACCTAAGAAACATGACTAGGTGCTGGAGGGAAGGGGAATCCCCCACAGGCTGGGCTGGCCAGACCTCTGCAAACTCCGCTTCCAACCCCTCCCCTCCAGAGCCATGGTTGTTACAGCAGCCAGCCACCAGGGGGAAGCACAGGGTTGAGACGGGATTCTGGACATAGATGGGGGAGGGGTGGTCAGTAATAATGAAGTCATCTGGTCAGTAATAGCAATTAAAGAGCTTGACTGGGAACCAGCTACTACGGCCCTCAGAGGGGCATGAGTACTCATCTCTAGTCGTGGTAATCAGAGAAGGGGAGAAATACTGCTAGAATCGACACCTTTCTATTCCCTCCCCTCACCCTACCTACCCTCTCTGATCCTCCAGCTTCTCCTTAAAGAGTCGTGGGGCCAGTCTAGCCTCGTGGGCTAAATCCAGGGACAGACCCATTAGGCCCATCAGCCTCGGGGTCAGAGGAGGTGGGTGGGGCCACGGGCCCATGAGGGGGCCCAGGGGATTATCACACGGGCTGTGGCCTAGGATTTGGACCTTGGATCTGTGGGAAGCCTGGGATCGTGCCTCACCCCCAGCTCACTCCCTAGGCCTAACTGAAGTGGACAGCGTGTACGTGTTCAAGGGAGATGAAGTCATTGAGTATGATGGCGAGTTTTCTGCTGACACCCTCGTGGAGTTTCTGCTTGATGTACGGACTCCCCTTGACCGGACAGTTTTCCTTGAAGACTCCGCTGCCTGCCCCCTATTTCCTACCAACCCCAACCTGACCCTGCACACATAACACAACATGCACACACACCACCTGCACACACACCACACACATGCACGCACATGCACACAATAGGCCACACGTCATCTACGTACCCACACACTACACATATGCACCTCATGCACACCACACACATACACCCATATGCATCACACACACATCATATACATACCACACACACACAATCACATTCACACGCACCACACATGGACAACACACACCACACACGCACACACACCCACACACAACCCCCTACACATACACACTGTCAACATCTAGTCCCCTCCTCCAGTTCCCTAGCCATCTTTTCCCTAGGTCCCTTTCTGGTTCTACTCAAGGATAGAAACTCTCTTCCTGTAATGTCCTCCTCTTTCAGGTCCTAGAGGACCCTGTGGAATTGATTGAAGGTGAAAGAGAGCTCCAGGCATTTGAGAATATTGAGGATGAGATCAAACTCATTGGCTACTTCAAGAGCAAAGACTCAGAGCGTGGGTAACCCTCAGACTCCACTGTGACCCTCCCTGGATCCCCATCTTTCCCGTGTTTCAGCCTCTACCTCCTCACTTCCCACCTCTTCCCCCAGCTGTGCTCAGCACCATCAACAGCTCTGACCTCCCTGTACTCTGAGGGTTCCCAGACAAGTACCTCCAGTATTTCACCTTCCCCTCACTCTTGGAGGACTAGAGGGGGTGGGTCTCAAAATGAACCCTGCCTGGAAAGAATGGGGACTGTAGTGTGGGATGATTCCCCGGCAGCCCCTGGTTTCCCCAGAGACTGACTCTGCATTCCCCCCCTCAGATTACAAAGCCTTCGAGGATGCGGCTGAGGAGTTTCATCCCTACATCCCCTTCTTCGCCACCTTCGACAGCAAGGTTCTCCTCCCCGAGGCTGTATTGGGTGTCCCTCGCATCCTGAAGCTGTCCTCCAGCTTCCCCTCCCAGAATCGATGGCAGACCTAGGCCCTTCCTATGCACTGGCACTCACCACCCCATCCCAGCTCCTCCCACTCCATAGATTTAGAGCTGAAGAGGGGCTTTAGATGGTCTGACAGCTGTCTCATGTTAAACCCAACCCCAGAGAAGTTAAGACACTTGTCAGGTGTCACATGGCAGTGACAAGGATCCCAGCCTTCTGACTCCCTTCTTCATGTTCGTTCCCTGGTAATACTGCTTCTCGACATGACCCTGTGTCTCCTATTC